CTCTCTCTTATCTTAGTAGTGCATGGGTAGCCACGACATATGTTTGGTAGCACTAGGCCGTAGGTACAAAATACGGGTATTCCGAGATTGAAAGCTTCGCCCCTTTTCGAGCAATTAAAATCCGAAATCCGGTTTTCTTATGCTTCCAACTTAGGGAAAAGTCGGATTTTACCCGAATTCTTTCCCTCTTATCTGAGCGGTGAATGAGTAGCCACCATACACGTTCGGTAGCACTAGGCCGTAGGTACAAAATGCGGGTATTTCCAGTTCAAAAGCTTCGCCAGGTTTCGAGCAATTAAAATCCAAAATTCGGGTTTCGTATGGTAAAAATGGAAAAGTCGGAGTTTACCCGAATTTTTCGTTCTTATCTGAGAGTGCATGAGTAGCAGCAGTATACGTTGGGTAGCACAGGGTCAAGGCTACAAAATAAGGGTATTCCGAGCCCAAAACCCTTGCCCGTTTTCGAGCAATTAAAATCCGAAATTCGGGTTTCGTATGGTAAAAATGGAAAAGTCGGAGTTTACCCGAATTTTTCGTTCTTATCTGAGAGTGCATGAGTAGCCGGAATATACGTTGGGTAGCACAGGGTCATGGCTACAAAATAAGGGTATTCCGAGCCAAAAACCCTTTCCCGTTCTCGAGCAATTAAAATCCGAAATTCGGTTTTCTTGTTTTTGCAACTTATGGAAAAGTCGGATTTTACCCGAATTTTTTCGTTCTTATCTGAGAGGTGCATGAGTAACCGCAGTATACGTTGGGTAGCACAGGGTCATGGCTACAGAATAAGGGTATTCCGAGCCAAAAACCCTTGCCCGTTTACGAGCAATTAAAATCCGAAATTTGGGGTTCTTGTTCTTGCAACTTATCGAAAAGTCGGAGTTTACCCGAACTTTTTCGTTCTTATCTGAGTGGTGCATGAGTAACCGCAGTATACGTTGGGTAGCACAGGGTCATGGCTACAAAATAAGGGTATTCCGAGCCAAAAAGCCTTGCCCGTTTTCGAGCAATTAAAATCCGAAATTTGGGTCATGTCATCGCAGGTATATTTAAAAGAATAGAAAATTGACCAGAGCGAGTAATTTTGGCTGACCAAAGAGAAACTAAAAAAGCATGACGAGGAGTGAATTCCAAATATGCCGCTCAGTATTTATCGGGGATGCTTGATATATTTCATGCCTTTTCGTCTAAATCCAATATGATTAATTCAGATGGGATATTGAGTTTTGTAATGCAAGTATGTTCCAATCAAATCCCGTTAACGTTAGCAATTCCATTGGGGACCTAACAGTCATTTTCCTGTATAAAAATTTCCAATTGGATTTTTTACATGAAATGCATATATGCATCACATCTTATTGGAAATATACTGTAATCATAAGGGATCCGTAAGGATCCATCTACTGTTCAGATTTCCCAATGGATCCCAAGTCTCAGAAACGCACGGGTATGCCCAAATGTTTAATTCCTGGAAATTGAGTTTACAAGTTTTTTTAACTTGTGAAATACTCACTATGGGCGTGATATATACCTAACTTGCTTTGAGGCTTTAAACATTTAACACAAATTCAAATTATAAACACACTGACAACTTTGTAGGGTAAGTAAAATCATAGGTATTTGGATTAATTTGGAGATATGTACCTACATATACATATACATATCTCCCGTACAGATTTACATACATTCGTGCCTTACTTACTCAATTATCTAGTATCGCTGACTTGCTTCTAAATAAGTTTAAGAAAATATCAATCATGGTTGATTCAGAAATATTTAATACAACATATGTACGTAATGTAAGTCAAAATAAAAGGCTAAATGGCAGACCTTGGCATAGGTGGCACAGAGGTCGACGCCGACAAATCTTCGGCGGCGACGGCGCCAGTTTTTGGTAATTTTTCGGCGGCGTCGGCGGCGCGGCGCGGCGTCACAATGTTAAAGGAATAGGAGATCAAATTTTTCGGCGGCGGCGGCGCGTAAAATGCATCGGCGTATGGCGGCGCGGCGGCGTGAGATCGGCGGCGTCGACCTCTGAGGTGGCATGTAAAGTATAAAAAGATATGCATGTACATTTTTTAGAAGCGCAGAGAGTTTCTTTAGCATCGGTTTGAAATGTTCAATCCACACCACAAAAATAAATCACCATAAATTTACATTGAGGATGACTTTTTCCTCAACAAAGGGGAAGAATTTATATATATAAATGCTACTCATAAGTGCTATAAGTACTCATTCAAGACACAAAGCCCGTACGTAAAAAAGGGTTATCTGCTTTAAATCTTTCGTTAAAATTTCGGCTAATAAGTAAATAAACATTCAACATATGAACACAAAAATTTTTATTTTTTCAGAAAAAAACACCACAACATTCTGAATTCCACTCTTACCTTAACAGCCTTGGAGGACATATCTACGTTGTAAAAAAACGCTAGAAAACAATACGAAACACCTGTTTCGTATTACCCCTGATCCTATGGATTGAACCAGTAGGTGAGTCACGCCAATATGTGTTTCTTTTTGTCCTCAATTTATAAATATATGGAAAATTCAGAGTTGCATTGTCGCTTTTGTGAACTTAGGTACTATAATTACGTAAAAAAAACTGGAGTACGCCAGCGGTTAACCTCTTTCGTTTAATAAAATTTCCCCACTTGGGTACGGTGTTCATTTCATAATTACACCTCATAGCAACCAATTAAGATTTTCAATAGGTTTCCAAGTTTTTTGACGAAAAAGACGAAAATGCACTTTTTAACATTGGTCGGTACATTCGCAAAAAAATGAAAACGTGAAAATTCCTAAATTTTATAAGAACAATATCGCAACAACCACACTTTTTACCATCGATTTTACACAAAATATTAAAGAAATACTATTTTTAGAAATTTTAGGGGTGTTTGTGCAAGGCACATACTCTCCATTCGCACATAGTAGAACTTTTGCAGAAATTGAGATTTCTGAGAAACTAGGGCACTGCAAATCTCGAAGTACCCCGTCAGAATAATTTTAGGGAATTTGAGACTGACAGTGCCCTAGTTTCTCGGAAATCTCAATTTCTGCAAAAGTTCTATGTACTGTGTGCGAATGGAGAGTACGTGGTTAGTTCTTTTCGTAGTAAACGGAAAATAAAATACTACACAGATACATATGTGTACCTCTTCGTTAACAGGTTAATTTACGTTAATTTCCGTATTACAAAGTCACAGATAAGGGGGGAGCCATGCAAAGAGTTTTTAACGAATATGTATGACTATTCTCGCGACGAAATGTGAAACGGTTTGCCACCCCGTGTTTACCACTGTTCCGATGGCCAAGTGCGACGATGGGCTGGACTGCTGCTTTGTATTATTGGGCCAAGTTTTAGATTGGTCAGGAGACAGGTCTGGGTCGGGAGACGGGTCTGCGTCGGGAGACAGGTGTCTGGGTCTGGAGATGGGGTTGCTCGTTAGTAAATTTATTTATTCATATTGCATTTTCTTCTAGCTTGTTGAAAACTAATTTTTCGGTATGATAATAAACTAATTGTATTGAACGTAATGTTTTGTTTTCGCTTGGAGAGTTAAGTTTTTAACCTAATCGAAGTTGTTGATCTCAATTTTGCTGAGTACTTATTATTTTATTAATTTAGACATGCAGACAATAATTATTATTTTTATTTCCTAGAATGTAAATATGTAAATAGATGTCTAAAGTAGCAATCCTAGCAGCAATTAAAGCTTTCATATAAGAACGAAAACAAAATTCCAACCTCTTGGCTTCTTTCAAATGTAAAAGTTATCGATTTTTTTGTGTAATAAAATCTGAATTATCGATGTAATAAAATCTGCAATTAAAAAAACGCACGTAGATGACAATTTCAAAACCGACATATTTAAATATATGAAAGAAGGGAAAGTTGAGACTCAAAAATTTAAGTTCAAACCCCGCATCCAATGGACTCTTAAAGTAGATTAAGCTACTTAATTTGCCTTAGAGCTACATACCTAATTCTGAATGAAAAATGTGACATTCATAAACCCAAACTGTATAAAGAACCAAATATGGCAAGAAATATGTTTCCATGAAAAAATAACTTTACAACTTTACTATTTCATTGTTTTTTTGTGCATACAATCATGTAAATATTCACGACGTGTCTTAATCCGTAAACAGTCTAAAACAGGATAAAATTTAGCAAAATGAAAAAAAAAATGTTGAATGAAAATATTTATTATCATGATTAATATAACTCATTTGTGTGAATCACAAATATTTATGTAAATATGTATACTTATCTTTTAAATTTTGACAACTTTAATAATAGCTTAAGATAATTAAAATTATTACATTGAGGCAATTCACGTCAACTTTCATAAGTCCATAAACTAACAATGCGACGGTGTGAGGTGGTTATCGCCGATATCCACCGGACTAATTTTAAATTGTTCACGCTCAAAAATAAGTGGTCCCGTATTTTTTCGTTTTCCTGAATGGGCATATTTACGCCCTTGGCGGAATTTTCAAAAAAAATTTCAGCCAAAATTCGGATTCTCCAAAACGCTGTAACTTTTCGAATTTTAACCCGATTTAAAAAAATAAACCCATTTTTTGTTCAGAATTTCATCCCTGAGAATATAAAAATTCATTAAAAAAAAATTTAAAACTTTGATATTTTCATGCTATTTCTGAGTTTTTATAAACCCAAAAAACGATAATTGTTTGAAAATTAAAAGTTTTTTAAAAATGAATTTTTATATTTTCAGGGATATAAATCTGAACAAAAAATGGGTTTATTTTTTTAAATCGGGTTAAAATTCGAAAAGTTACAGCGTTTTAAAAAATCCGAATTTTTGCTGAATTTTTTTTGAAAATTCCGCCAAGGGCGTAAATATGCCCATTCAGGAAAACGAAAAAATACGGGTCCACTTATTTATAAGCGTGTACAATTTAAAATTAGTCCGGTGGATATCGGAGATAACCACCTCACACCTCCTCATTGTAAGTACCTAAGCCTTCAAAATTTACGAACTTTACCTACGAACATCCCTAAGGATTTTTTTGCTTACGGACTTCTGAAAACTTATGTATGTAGGAAGATAAAAGCGTGTTTTATGCTCGGAATCTGAACTTTTCTCAATTTTATCACGTTACGGACTCACGAAGACTGATGTGAATTGGCTCATTTGTTAAATTTAAATTTATCAAAATTACAAATATTGGATTACCCCATACATAGTTTAAATTGTACAAGACCCAGCACATTTCCAATTGACTTGACAATCAGAGTGGCTGAGACAGGTGACGTAGCTGTAACTCTGGCTGTATGACCAGGTCGTGTAGCACCACCCGAAGTAGCAATTCGCCCAACAATAGCCACTACGACACCCGCAATCGTATACCCCGATGTCCCGCCGTTCTTGGCAATTGGCGGAATTTCCCAAGGTACCCCACCATTTGACTATTGGTAAACCATTCCTAGATTCAATATTCCTTGGTTTGGGGGGAGGAACTAAATTGAAAAATATTACACACTTACAATAATGTAGTCACAAACCGTTGCCTGAAGGATCTTCGAGCTACCATGTTCTACAACTTGTCGCCAAATTGGTTTCGTTATTGCTTAAATTGATAATTACTTAATTTGAATTTCAAGGAAAAGAATGACTTATCAAGGTAAATATGTATAGACTTCTAATCACATTATCTAGTGTGTAGCTACAAATTGGAGGACATTAGGTGCTCTCAAGGTTAAAAAAACTGATTGAAATGAGCAACAAGCAAACATATACATAAAAAGTCTGATTTGATATAATTAAAGTTTGAATGTATGTAGGTAAGTATGTACCACATCTTTACTGAAGGAAATCCTCGAGGTTCTTGAAACTTTTGCCAAATTCTTGAAATTTAAATATTGACGAATTGACAAGGTTGACGAGCTGAATGAAAATGATTGTGCGAGAAGAAATAATTTTAAAATTCGATTTTTTTGTGAAGCCTAGTACACAGGCAAAATTTTTCACGGAAAAAGCTTAGGGAACACTGGAATAAAAAACTTAAGCAGTATTTTACAATTGATTTTACTACACTGTAATCTGGTACCTTTTGTAGCGAATCTCGAGAAATTCTATTGGACGAGTAATTTAATACCAAGCAAAGAACCTGTAGTTTCTCTTGAAACTCCGCCCTGAACACCAGACTTGGGCAAGAAAATCAGTTTCTACCGATTTGAAATCGCATGTTTACATAATACCCAGGAGAAAAGAGTAGAATCAGCGATGATCATAAAAATCTGATTTTGTTTTCGACTTTGAGAGTCCCTAATGTAAATACTCGTCCTAGATAAATAAATAGATAACTTACTTATATCGAGTGGTTTGCAGGCTCCAATTTCGCTACAGATTTTAGTAGGATCCACTTTGTGCAGAAAGAAATCGACGATGGGTCCTTCATACGTTTCTACGAACGAGGTACATTTCGCTGTTGGCAAGTAGGTGCACATTTGTGCCAACCCTGCCCTGATTTCTTGCTGGAATTGTGATAACAAAATTTCCATATAATTTACTCATACCAAAATAAATTTGCCGTCCAGAATTTTTGAATAAATTTGAAGAGGGGAGGATTTTTTGCATCATAAACTTATTGTTTAAATGCATATAGCGCAAGTTTGGATTATTACAATTATTTATGCAAGCAGCCATTGTGCATAATGCTGTTATGATGAAGCACCAGTATTTTCGGCCATAAATAAATCAGTATTAAAAATTGACATGATTTACAAACCTCAGATAAATTTTTGTCCACCCTTTGTGCCAATTCAGTGACAATGTTTTTGCAAGCAATACACCCCGAATCGTCCATACGTGACGTCACATCAAAAATTGAGAACCGTTTAGATGAGATCACCATCTACGTAAGAAATTGTAAAAATTAAAAACCTCCAATTTTACTCTTATGTATCTACCCACACCTTGCCTATCCTACCCATGTTAAACTTAACACGAGCAAGATAGGCGACCCAAAATAACCACACACTTTTTCTGTGACGTAACACATGGACGCTCCATAAGTAGAAATTTTATTTCTAATTGAAGACATACCTTGTCCCCATCTTGGCTCCACTTTTCCAAACTTTGCTCCACCCTGTAGTTACCTTTTACCGGTATGGGCTTCAGAGTAGCTGAAACTATAAGGAAATATTTTTAAAATGCAAAGTTAAGTCTACACTGCAAAAAATGCCCGTCGGTATTTCAGTACGGACGTATTAAAAATCGCATTGCGAGCCATCCGTACTTAACCAAAGTATAATCGCACTCCATGCAAGTAGGAATGTATTTAAATTTAAGTACGGATGGCTCGCAATGCGATTTTTGACACGCCCCTTACTGAAATACCGACGGGCGTTTTTGCCTTGTATCTTCTCCCGGTAGAAATCCGGTATTAAAATAATACCAGGCGGTATTCATGTATGACTTTACCAAAGTGGTATTGATCGGTAGGTAGTACTGTGTAGTAATAAATATCTCGGTATTAAAGCTTCACGATATCGGTAGGGAATTATTACCATCCAATTTAATTCTAATACCAGGCAGTAGCAACTTTAATACCGAGAAATCAATACCTACATACCGATAACAGATTTCTAAAAAAGAGTTTAGTATCAATCTTGTCGTTTAGCGTACCAAATGCTCCCACATTCAGCATTATGAACAACTTTACCGTGGCGGACATCATTATTATTTTCTCGAACTTGGGGGTGGAATTATAAATACCGTAAATTCAAGATAACGGGATAATTTATTCGTTTGAAAATATTTAAAGTTTTCTAAAAACCTAAACTTATGTTACTTCACTCTACTCATCAACGTTAGTGACTGAAAAGGACAACCAAAATGGGCATCATTTTCCGTATAGTGAGTGGTGTCTAAAACTGTGAGGGCTATTTTTATTTTAAGTGACATGTGATGCAAGGCACGTGTGGGCCTCATGACTTTTGCATGAGACCCAGAGATAAGGGGTACCAGCCTGTGACGCATTTTTGTAAATATTTGTAAAACTTGTGATTAATTTTAATTTATCAAGGGTTAATGTTCCAAAGTAGTCAAAAGTTCTATCCAGCTCACCAAATTTGTTCATCTACAGACAGATATAAGATGAGACTTTAGAGTCTTTTAATACTCTAAATTATATTTAGAAAAATTAAGCCTTTTCTGCCTGTCAGTTATTTAAAATGTAAATCTTACTTAATGTATGCATAACTTTGTTTAATCAGCTTGACCCATAATCTCAAAAAGTGGACTTTGTAATCACATTAGTATCTGTTTCCTTCCATTCACGGTTATGCAGTGCATCTTATAGGAGAGTCTTTTTTTCATGTAAAGCTTATGTATGGGCAGGGCTATCCGATGGGTAGTATCTTAGCATTGCTAAATACAAAATGCATAAAAGATAGTATTAGTGAGGGCTCTAGCGACGAATAATTAACCACCACGATATAAAAGATACAGAAAGAGATGTTCCACGTCACTCACAGATGGAGTAGGAGTTAACTCTGCGAGTTTGCCATTTAGTTTAACATTGAGGGCTTCTGGCGACCTCTCGTATGTGAGGTGGAGAGTCATCCCCCTTACTTGCTTAACAAAGAACAGAGTGCTTCTTTTAATTCTTTATATTCTATGGGGCTATCCTTTTAATTTTCAGACAATAATCACCTCTTTCAATACTATACATTAAATACTATACGTTAAATTAAGGAACCACATTTTAAAGGCATGAATACATTCTAACTATACTCATTGTACACAAGCACGAAATCTTTATATGAGACTAAACTGTAATACATAGGTATACTTATATTATTCAATTATTAAATTATTGGACCTGTTTTTTACCAAACGTATGCACGTAAACTACGAATATGTGAGGCATAACGAGCTTTGTAAAGAAGCGAGCTTGATTAATAAATACAAGGATTCTAAGGGGCCGTCCATAAATTACGTAACACGAGAGAGGAGGGAGGTGGGGTCTTAGGTTCCAAATTGGAACTTCCAATGATATTTTTATTGCCCATGTTACACATGTTAAAGGAGGGAAGAAGGTTTAGACAATCCCGATTTTTGTGTTACGTAATTTATAGACGACCCCTTGCTTTTCTAGACCACTCTCCATCATGATGATTGTTTCATCGGGATTATTCATTAATTACGTAATTAATTTGCTATTTCCCGAGCAATGCAAATTTTTGGTTAGTAAAGTTACTACAATATTAGATTAGATGCCACTCTCAAATCTCACATATCAAGATGTAACAATATTAATTAACTGCAATTATTATACACGTTTTTAATTGATGAGTAATTTGTAAATTGTACATAATTGCAGTTATAACTACGTTTATAGGTACATAAATGCAGGTTCACAAACTTGGGGACAAGAGAGACGGGGTGGTGCGGTTGATACAAAGAATGTGAATAATTACGGGCAAGCCTCAGGTGACAAATACCTAGCAAAGTTAAAAGCGAGCTTAGATAATATAAATTTACGTATTAAAATCAGTCTTAATTAATATAATTAATATTTATTAGTTATCACTTGAAACGGTTAAAAGCGTTTCAAGCCAGCCTTAATTCTACCGACTCCTTGCTGTTTCTTTCAAACATCTAAGAAAATGGAGTCACCTAAGCCGACCGTAATAAAAATCAAGGTGACCGTAAGTGGGAAAAAATTTCCAGTTTGTAACGATAAATTATTTATTTTCGAGACTTGAGTTGTGTTTATAATTCGTCTTCATCACTCCAGTTAGATTTTTTGATTTGTCGGAATTAATTTTTGATTTCAAGATAGATAATTATATTTTCGTAGTTTATAAAAGTTCAAATTGACCGAGTGAAATGGTGATGACGTGAGTTATAAACGCATTACACCTTAAGGTGGCATTGTATGCGAATTTATGTGTCTCAACTTCCCCTTCTTCCATGTATTCAAATGGCGATTTTGAAACGTGTTCAACTTCGTGCGTTCGGTTAAAATTAAGATTTTATTGCATCTAAAAATCGATAATTTTTGGGTTTACAAAGTTAGCATGTTAGAATTTTCTTTTATTAGTCTGCATTTTTAAAAAACCTATGAATTGGTTTGGCAAATGCTATTCGATCCATTCGAATTGAGAAGGGAAAGATGAGACACACAAATTTAATTTCAAACCTCACCTGCAATGATCCTTTAAGAATAATTTCTTCACATTTAGGGGGAAACTGAAGAACACAGCTTTAAATGGGACGTACAGAAAAAATCCGTGTTTATCATTCGGTCCGATTTTAGAGGACCAATCTTATCGTTCACATCCGGCGAAAGTTTCGACAAGGTGTCGGAATTTAGAACTCGTCGAAACTGATATCATTAGACCCCCTTTCTCGAGTTACATAATTTATGAACGGCCAGTCACTGACGTCAAGTACTTCGTCCAGCATTTTGAACTTCAAAATTTAAAGTAAAATCCTACATATAGGCAAGAAACGATTAAGATTGGGCGTTTTTCGATTTTGTCGACGAATTATCGCATCTAATATCGATATTAGACTCGAGTCTAACTTTATATTTTTATTTTTCCCGGCAGAAATTCCCCACATCCATTTAACTTCGACCCCCAAAAAGTGCATCTTTTACAGCTATGACTCTAAAACGGCAAAGTTTAAGGACGATGATTCCATCTACTCGATGGATTTTATTGCTCGTCACTTTTCCCGGGACACTTTAGAATTAAACGGGACCTTTGTAAACTGTCGGTCACGTCCTGTATGTGGATTTCCTGCTTCCTGGGACAGTCGCCGTAAGTGCAGCGTCCAGCATAAGGCTGTCATGTTGACCATGCTCGAAAATGGGGAAGGAGCCGACGTAATGTTCCGGACGAATGATGGCGAGGAAGTTTTTGCTCATCGCGCAATTCTGTCGGCGCACAGTCCCGTCTTCAAAACCATGTTTGCCGCCGAGATGAAGGAGAAGGATGGCGTCGTGGAGCTGGACGACATGGCGGCTCCAGAATTGCAAACTTTTTTGAAATTTATGTACACAGGAGAAGTTAGTGACGCAGATTGGCAAGAATATTATGCCGAGATCGTCATGGCGGCGGATAAGGTGATTTTGAATAATAATTAATAATAATGTGACATTATTAATGTCAATTAATTGTCGGTTATTAATTGTAATTGTCGGTTATTAATTGTAATTGTCGGTCTCAATTAATAATGTCATGTCATACATAAATGTTGGTACTATCGGTTAAGGTTATTGTGCTGAGACATTTAACCCTTATAACATATGTATGTATGTGACATGCAATTTATGACACGATATTGAAATTTATGACATCGTAACGTGATATTTATGACGCAATATTTAAAATTAGGATGAAATGACAATAACATTTGCTACATTAATTTCCAGTACCAAATCGCACATTTTAAAGATTTCTGCGCCACGATGCTTCCTGACCTATGTAGCTGGGATAATGCAGTCGAACTTCTTCAACTTGTCAAGCTACATTCTTTGGACGGGGTTAAAGAAAAGATTCAACAGTTCATGAACAAGTAAGCTATTAACTAATTGTTAATTAAGCTCAAAATTGATTGATAACTTTACTAAATTATTTTTGTTTATTTTATGTAGAGACCCCAAAAAAATGTTTGAACTTTTGAATTCCATGGCTGAAGAATCGACCTCGTAACATAATCGCCATAGTGCAGAAAAATTGTATTTATTGCGTAATTAATTTGAAGATGTATGCAATAATTTTTCTATGAAAGAGTTATAACCAATTTAATTCTAGAGATTCGTAATTAATTAATTGTGATTAACAGGTTAAGGATTTTGATTTTTAATTCCTCACTGTTAATCCCAGAAAAATCTAATAATCGCGTCTCTATGTATGAGTAATTCTTGCAGTATTTAAAGTGATGCTTATTTCTTTCGCGACATGGCTTTTGTATTTAATGTGCTATTAATTTAAAATCATTGATATGCTATAATTAATCGTGCAAGATATTTACATATGTATGTATATGCAGAAATATCTGTAAATATGTATTTATTTGAATCCCAGCCTTAAATATTATTCGAGTGTTTCTAATTTATCTGGGTTCAACTGTTCTGAAATGTATTCCGGGTAGGATTTTTTTGGATAATAATAAATCTACTGCGTAATATTTGTAAACGTTGGACATGTGTCCCCCTAACTTCCGCTTGCCACTGGACAAGTGGAATGATAGAAATTCTGAAAATCATTTGCTAATAACGAAATTATGTAAATACTTACATAGGTACACAATTAGATATATGCATGGTCATATTGCTACATATTTAGTACCCGTCCAGTTTTATGATTTTAGGTAAAATCACACATGGAAAAAGGTGGAGCAGCATAAGAGTGACTCACATTTGTTACCATTTCCCGTGACCTGCCAACGCGTCGGAACCACTAAAGCCTGCTGGCAAACTTTTACATCCAATGTAGTCAATGCCACATTAATTTCAGGTTGGCTTTCGAAATTCTAAACGGGTGTGACCCACAATATACGCATGTTCATATAGACTCATAAAAAATGTTAGGCAATGTATTTATGGATTTAAAAGTCCGCAACAATTTAAAATTTAAATAATGTCTAAATTTCATACAGGAAGATAGCGATGATATACCTATAAGCAAAGAATGCTTAATTTTTTATGTATTTAAATTAATTTCAGTAGAGTTATGCACCAATTTTTTTTCCCTCTGAAAAAGGGAATGAATATATTTTAGAATTTCTTTGGAACACTGAAGAATAATAGTTACATATTTAAATAGATACGTTGTCATGGTGAACCACCTCTCGTTGTGTACTTAAATTTGTACCTGAAATTATTGCATGATCTTTTCCATACTACTTTGCATAACTTTAGTGAACGCTGCTGGGTCTTCAATTTGTGGGTAGTGTCCCAAATCTTGCATCTCAGTGATGTCAGCATTAGGTCTCAATTCGCGCCATCCCTCCCACTGCCACGCCCCACAGACGGGATCCTGCATCCCCCACGCGTAGGCGATCGGTTTGTCCCAGTTTTTAACTGCGCCCAACCAACGTTCTGCTTTTTCAACACGTTCAAACGTGTACCGGATTAGCTTGTCGTTTATTTTGTGACCGTTCTGGTAGAAAAAAAATGAAAATTATGTCGTTAAAAAGTTATTCTGTAAATATGTACACTTTTAGAAATCCAGTATTAAAATAATACCAAGCCGTATTCATATATCTATGACTCTACCAAAGTGGGATTGGTAACCAATACCGTGTTGTAATAAATAGCTGGGTAATAAATATTACCATATTGGTAACAATTTTTTTGAGACCGATTAAATTTTAATACCAAGCGGTAGCAGCTTTAATACCAAGAAATCAATCCCTGCCTGACTGTACCAGATTTCTAACAGTGTATTAAAGCGGAACTAAATTTCAAGTAATTAAATTCATCAATGGTCAATTAATTACTAATTACGTACATAATTACTAATTAATTACTTGCAAGCTCATGAGAGCCCATTGATCTTCGCCTTCTTCCTGGGATAATGGAAGGCTTCTGGAGAAAACTGAGCCCAACTGCCACCGGAAAAGGGAGGAGAAAGTAAATCTCGCCAACCACGGTCCTGCAAAACTTCGGAGCACTTTCTGCCCAAGGATTAAATTTGCACGTTCCATAAACATGCTTCCGTTGAAGAGGAATGATCCCACGAGTTTAATTTTCGGATTTAAAGAATGTTCCAGATCTCGAGCTAGTAACTCCGAAACGACGGAAGTTCCCATGTCGTGACCTGATTAGAGATACAGATGCAAATTTAATTTCATACATAATATGCACTGAGGCTATTCATTCAATCATTAATAACTCATAAAATCCGTAAGTTTTGCAAAATAATTTTATAAAATTTTACGAAATAAAGAGACGCCCTTGATCCTTATCTGAGTAAATCTTAAAAAAAATGTAAGTTGGATAATGTCCCTAAGAAATATTTTTCAAATTTTTCAAAAGTTTGTAAGTTTACAGAGTTTAAGGATTTTACTGCGTCACGAATTGCCTCATCGGAATACATGAACAAATGCATACAAATGCAAATTTAAATTAAATTTACAATTAAAATATTTAATTAGCAAACTATGCAAACATACCGATGAGAATGACATCCATGCCCTTGGTATATTTCTTTGCATATTTTTTCTCATGGCGTATTAACAGTTCTTCCACCAGGTCTGCTTGCCACGCCAGAGTATAGTCGTGATTTGGTGGTTTGTCCGATAAGCCAAACCCCAAAAAGTCAAAGGTCAAGAACTCCTTGGTGGGCAGTAAGTCAATAACTTTAACCCAGTCGTAGGAACAGGTCGGGTATCCATGACAAATTACGTGGAGCGGTCCATTTCCATTCCCCTCTTGGTAGAAACAGTGGATATTATAGTTTCGGAAGTCTTCCCTGTACCCTCGATCTTTCCACGCTTGAATTCTTGGCGTGAGTTGTGTTCCCATTTTATTCCTGGGCAAGTATGCAAGCAAAACATGACAATTTTAGAAATGGGTTCTTAATTCATGGCGGATGCAATTGGTGCAAGATTTTAAAACCTACCTTTTTTAAGCCCTGTATGGATTATCATTTATTATTTCGGTATAATCGAGATGTATAACTGGTTTATTATTTTTGTGTAGAAGAGTTTGACAAGTGAATCATATGGAGTCAAGGACTATGTTTGTAAATGCATGCATATACCAGGGACACTGAACTATCTGTGTGTATCAACTTAATCGCTTAATAAAAAATAAGCGAGGAGGTGCTCATATGAAGGTTTGCACATGCACATGTACATAAGTACATAACATAACGTATAGGCAATACAAGTTCACACTTCTGATCCTAAGTACGCATCTACTAAATGAATTGAAGTTCCAGATATGTACATATGCATTATATGTACTTAATTATGCTTACATATTACAATTTATACTCCAATGAATACGAAATATCCCTTGTACACATACATGTATGTACATATGTAAATATATGCACTCTTGATATGATATGGAGAAATATGTCTGTCGAAGTCGAAATCCTGCATACAAGCAAGTGTTGTCAGCATGTACATATGCACCAATGTGTATTTATTTATAATGTGAATTCTGATTTAATTTATTGAGCAAAATTGGAAAACTAGAGGAAAACTGTGGCCAAACGTTGAAATTTTTTTGACATACGGATGCTTCCTACTAGAGAAAGATGTTTCTACTACATAAACACATTTTTCTTGTTGCGTGGTTTGCATGAGCAATGAGTATTTTAGATTAGTTGTATTTATTCATATCGTACTTATCAATCACAGTTCTATTAACCTACTTGAAACACGTGACTACAAATGCGATTTCTACCTTTTAAATTTTGTTAATGCCAATTTTTAGCAATTTTAAACTCAAGTTTTTATTGTGACTTCGCCTCCGTTCCCTGCAGCTCGCCTGATATGTTATGTCCGGCAGGGATGTAAACTAAATGCAAGGATAAAAAATGTATGTGGTTAGTTCTAAGTAGTCACTCTTAAAAATAATGCCACCCTTTTGAAATGTATTTAACTGCACTCTAAATCCTACATATATTAAGCTAACCGTACTGTACTAAATACAGAACAAGCTTAACTCTTCATTCAGGTACGTTAACTTAGAATTTGGACTGAATTTACTTGTCAAAATGGTAACATTATTATTAGGAGTGTAATTGTGAATTCCAGTGAAACTCGTGCCCTATTTATACCTTTGCCAGTTTTGCTTGCTTTTTTCTCCTGCATATCTTCACAGTCCACGCCACCAAGATGATGACCACAATAAAAACCAATATAACTGCAATAACGCCAGCCTGATTATGATTGATTAAATTTTGCAGTTCAGATAGGTGGATTAAATTTTATGATCCACGTTAATATTTTCATTTATATAAGCGAATATCAAAACAATACCGTAATTTCGTGTTGTTGATCTTGTGGTTTAATCCTATAGCTGATTTCTTCACTGTTCGAGCTTTGACCATTTGTTTCGAAAGCAGCTACACAGAATACAAGGTACAAGTCAAAGGTCTTAACATGTATATCTATCTCAACTTATATTTATCTCAAATGTAATACATTATATACATCGCTATGAACTCATAATCAATACCCTCAATATGTTTTCACTCCAGTCACGACTACAATTTATTAAACGTTTGAAAAAAAGTTGCGATGCTAATTATCGTAAATCGTGAGTACACCCAGTGTAGGTAATCTACGTAAGAAGCTTACCAATGCGAAACATATAAGTTTCTCCATCTTTGAAACTTCGAGCTGGAAATACAAGAAAAAAAGTTTGAGTCAATAAATTCCCTTCAGTTAAATCTACAAAATGTGCACATCTATATGTGTGTCGTAAATACTGAAAATTACATTTCATGGTGTATGAAGATACTGGTGGAATAATTTCATCATTATTTAGCGTTTTCTGGTTCACCTCCGCATCTTCTAAATTTCAAAAATTCCATGTGATTTTTAAATTTAAATTTGCAAATTTAAACTTATCTGTTAAATATGAATTCTAATTTTTAGTACGCTAAGCTCGAAATTATCGAAATTATGATAAATATTATTCTACTTACTTATATTGGACTTGGTAGTATGCTACAGCGACGGCCTTATCTACTGGTGGGGCCCACATTAAAATTACTGAAAAAGTTTCAGGGGACTCCACTATCGTCAAATTTTGGGGGCTGGCTTGCTTCGGGGCTAAGAGGAATATTATGCGACAATTTATACATCCATACATGTGCTCTTAAAAACCAAGTGTTAATATCATCACCGGTGTGCATAAGTGACTTTACCGCATGGTGATAATCCTTCTCACTTAATGGTTATTAAATTAACACCAGTGACAATTTATCATCATGCAGACAAGATTTATCACCATGCGGTGAAGTCGCATAAGCACACCGCGCGGTGACGATTAACACCGGGTTTTCAAGGGTGTAAAAGTTGAAAAATGGACGATTGTCCATTTCGAGAAGAATTGAAGTGGAGCTTGCTTCCTCCGCTTGGTCAAATTCGCCCATTTTTGTTAACTTTGACCTCAAATAATTTGAATAATTCCAACAAACAGCCTGAAGAGACATTGGTTGTATTGACTTGGACCACATAATTTTAACATTTAAGCCAAATCGAAGGGTAACACTTCACACCGTTGCGTTAATGCGTTGTAAATTTGTACCTGCCACAATGACCCTTGCCGCTAGTGTTCCCACTTGGTTAGATGCCACGCATTCGTACTCTGCTAAGCAGATTGCAAAATTAAGACATATGTAAATAAATAGTTCGTTTATGGAAAAATAATACATAAAAGAGATCGAGTAGTTCGCGTACCAAAATCAGATTCATGCAAGTTCTTCAATATTAACCTGCCTCCCAGTATACGTGTCCGATCCCGTATTGGAAAAGGTTGGCCATCTTTCTGTTCATAAATGTAGCATTGGGTAGCATTATAAAATTTGTGTGCAAGCATTTCAGCACACTCTTAAAAATAATGTTACCCTTTTAAACTAACGTTGGCTTGATAAGGGAAACAATTTACTTTGGGTTTAGTGTAAATTAATATAGGATTAAGTGTGAATTTAGTCAGGATTCCCGTCCAAAACTGTTTTTTGTCACAACAGTTGGGAAAAATGTTTTTTACTGTACAAGATGGGAAAATATGCCGGCTCGTGTACTTTAGTAATTTGATGAGCTAACTTCTTTAATAATCAATATTTTCGAAATTGAATTTCATATTCATCTTCTCCATGAATTCCTGAAAATTTAATACTGGTACTTATGAACAATTTTTACTGTTTTTTTTCAATTTTCCAGCTGAATACATATTAATTTTTAGATTACTAAATATTGCTCGTATTACTCGTATTACCAACTTATTTTCTCAAAATTTAATGGATAATACCAATAGTCAAGTTTTGAAAATATTAAATTATAAAAAAGTTGTTTCAGATTGCCCCCAAACTAAAGTTTTTATATTATTGTTAAATTTTATTTTCCCCATTTCCCACCCATTTTGTGTGGGCGTTAAAAGTGCCATGTTCCATCTTTTTCCCTCAGGCATGCTCAATTTTCTTTTTGCCAATCGACACCATGCATTTACCTTCCAAAATGGCAACATTATTTTTATGAGTCTTCATAATACTTAGAATATTTAAATATGCATCAACACACCCTTTGCCAATTAATGGTAGTACCACTGGATGTGACAGCTGTACATGAGATTTCTAATGAAGAACCAAGTTTGCCATAGTATAGTGGGTCCGGCTTAATGTCAAATTCTGGAGGCTCCTTAACAATTACTTGCATTGGTCGGGATCATCCTTAAAAAATCAGCAATAAATTGTAACCATTTTTATTCTGTCACATTGACTTAATTTGTCTTAATTGTGGAAAATACGCATAGATAAATACAGTCACGATAAAGATGGCCGGTAGTATTGGAGTAGATGCTACCGAGAGCCTTATCCTAACCTTATCTAAGATACGAGGTATCCCTTATATATCCAGGATATCCCTCAAACTTGTCATGGCTCAGGTAATATACGGCTTCTTTTCACATTATCCCTATCAGGGATGAGATATATCATGTCAACGATAAAATGTGACGGAGATTCTTATCTTAACGAAGACAAGCATATTCTTCGGACATATGATACTAACAGCTTTGTTGCGTTAGATAATTCTACTCAAGTATCCAAGACATACAATTGTTAAAGTATAATATCCTCATTTAAAGTTGGCTAAGCCATAAATGCATTAGCTAAACAACTACGTGTCGGGGTACTTTTGTGTTATGCAATGGACGAAGCCAAGTGATTTAGTACATAATCCAACACAAAAATCACAAGATCATAATGCACAGGAAATAATATTGTAACATTAATTAATCTCTAATACGTATTAATATGTTAATAAGTAGCGGCTCTGGTGTTCTGTACTCTTGGCTAATAGTGCCATTATCCAGCCACTCAAATCAAATCTACTTGCAAAGAAACGCAAGATGACCTTTACAAGATGATTGCAATGGTCTGCATTGATAACGAATCATTTGAACTTTGCGTTAGAAGTGACGGTTACTTCGTTGCGACAATTTCCACAGCATTCTGCATACAAGCAACCACCATTCGTAAACTTTATAAATTATAAATTAAAAATATTATTAATAATTAGTCTTAATAATAATAATTAATAATAATAATTATGATTATTAATTATAAATTAAAATTATACGTAATAAATTATACAAAAATATCGTTCTCGTTAGAATCACACACTCAACAAAAACCTATTCGACCAACTTTCACTCCTTCCTTCAACTAATACTTCAGATGAGCAAGAATTTATTAAAATGATTTATGTAATATTTATGGAATTTAACAAAGAACCGTCATCCGCACCATCACCACCTCTTCCATCTTAATAAGTCAAGTTAGTGCAAATTTATTAAAATAATTTGTATGTATTGTTAAACCTCTAAATCTTGTCAGAATCTACAATTCAGCGAAAAACTAACATTCCCAACGTCCCCTCCTCTGTAATTGAATCCGTTAATATTGATACGTCAAGTAAGTATAAAATTTAAGTACCTGATTCAATGATCACTGAACATAACATCAATCCAGCTTCCTCCACGTGTGTAATGAAACCTCTAATATATTTTTAAACACTTACAGACTCTCGCATATCCAGAGGAAACAAAATTTCACCACAAGCTTCAACCCATTTTCCATGGATCAAGGAACAACATGAACTCCCCGAAACTTTTCTAATATCAGCTCAAAGCTTAATAACTATCATTAAAATCTGTTTGTTTTCGATAAATGCGAGCAAAGTGATCATTGCTGACATTTTACGAATTGTATTAATTGATTGATAATTAATTGATTAATTGATATTACTATTAATTGATATATGTACATAAACGTAGATTCTCTTCTACGTGCAACTACATATATACCAAGATACTGGTCCGCTACGACAGAAAAAGGAGGCAAACCATATCATGAATGCACTAAAACAATTTTCATGTCCTATCATCTCTCGCTTAATGTGTTTGGTGTGTAGTTTAAAATTATTGGACTTCTTTTACACATATTTCTACTCATTAAATTGTTCATCCGTGTGCAGGAACTGCGCTACTCATACAATTTGAAGTGTTTAAATTGCCTTGCACATGTTGAACGGGCAAATCTTCGTCGCTCAAATACTGGACAAGATTTATTACCTTCAAATCTTTACCTTAAGCTTTTGAAACATTGCCTGATAATGATGAAATAATTTTACGTACAAATCCAAGCCTTTTCTATATGCGTTCCAGACATCGACTTACAATAATGAAATAATTTTGTATACTTTTATTATTATAACATAAATAATGCCTCGTACCTTTCTTATTATTAAATAAATAAATACTATAGATACGTACATCAAACAGAATTTCATTTATCATTAAAACAGAACGTGTCTTTGATCTTACCATCATTTTTCCAAAACAACGGCACGTTTAGAAAGTTCAGTTACCGGAAAACTATCAACTTGTTCTCTGGCCGTTTCCCGGACAATATCAATGTGCCTATCTACATTAATTCCAGCAACCAGTAACAGCGTTTTTGTTCTTGAAACACTAAATTAAATCAGTTGTTCAGCAGTTGAATCTAAATAATACCTAGTGTTGGAATTTCCGGCTGATGGCTAAAAAAACAAATCAATACTAAAATTCATATACACAAATGCAAGTAATACTAATACCGGTTTGTACTATTACTAAATAAGAACAGATTTCGACTCTGCCCGTTTTCTTGCACGCTCACTTTAAAAGAATGATGGAAAGGAAAAACAAAGACCAATACCATCATCGCTACCACTGCCAACACCACTACAACTCCAGCTCCAAACACAATTGCTTAACTATGTATCATTTGTTGGTTATTGTTTTACGGGTCACATTGTACGTACATACCTGGCTTAAACATTCCAAAGTAGCTTATCTCGGAGGTCATCCCAGAAAATCAAAGAACTTGAGCTCAACATCTTATAAATATCATCCTATAGAAAACTGATGGACCAATCTCATATTTAAATACAAATGTACCCAAATCAAACAGTACTGATTTGGTATCAGCGCCAATATCTCAATTAATTACGGAAGTTTAATTTACCATGAATCATCGGACTATTTATGCAATACTCGAAGGGTAATACTTGTCCAAGTATTACTTATCTTCTGGATTAATGAGTAGCACGTATGAGCCTAACGATTGTAAACATTGGATATCTTTTGAAAAGTTTATTGATTAACAATAAATTATAAATGCATTTACACTATGTATACGTTTAATACTCCATTTGATAATCTAGAATAGAAATAGCAAAACCATTTTTAAGAGAACCCTAATTTAAAATTTCCAAGCAAACTGCAACATATAAATTCCTTCGACTATTAGGCATGCAATTTGGGGTTTGTACGAAACGGCCTCCGGTTGATTTGCATAATTTATTTTGCATAATACCCATATGCATGGGAATTTACCTAATTTCAAATTATGCAAAATGACAATTTCGCATAACAACTACTTGCATAATCTTAGTGTTCCTTCGATTTGTACAAACTTTGGTTCTGTCCAGCATTTTTCGAACTATTAAAAATAGTTCGAAAGAGGAACCAAGCTAAGTATTCCGTGAAATATGTATTAGAAGCTAAAGAAAAATTATAACCGGAAAAATAATAACTACTGAAATGAGCAAAATGTTAGGAATGATAAACGCCTGGCCCTGAGATGGTCAGATGGTATAACTTCACGTCATAGGTTTCTACATATAGAGTAACTAGCTAATAAGCCCGTCTTCGCCGGGCCATAAAAGACATACTATCATTCCAATGATTATTTGCGACGGCAAAAAATTAAATTAAGATTACTTGATATAATAAGAACTACTTAATATATTTATGCCATGCATAATACCGAATGATAATTAGTTACCTCCACAGACAATATTACGATCTAAAATGCTGATTATTTATTGAGAAAACTTCAAATCCAGTGCGAAAACATTTAGAACCATACAAATCTAATACTAATGATTCTAAGCAACCCATTACAATAGCAAATTATACTGGTTCTATTAGGAAGACTTAATCAATAATACATATTATTATTATACAAAATCTAATTTAGTACTTCCCTAAATACTACATTTTTAGTAAACACTTTATCGTTTCCTGGTATTAATTTACCTTGGACACTATTTGTAGCTACTTCCACTTTCACATCACATGATCTCATCTTGCACCTCGACTCTTGCACTTCGTAGTTTGAAGCCGAAGTGCAAGATGAGGTGCAAGATGAGGCAATTGCATTTCACATCATCTTGCACCTCGACTCTTGCACTTCGTAGTTTCAAGTCGAAGTGCAAGACGAAGTGCAAGATGAAGTGCAATTGCAATTCACCTCATCTTGCACCTCGACTCTTGCACTTCGACTTGAAACTACGAAGTGCAAGAGTCGAAGTGCAAGATGAGGTGAAATGCAATTGCACCTCTTCTTGCACTTCATGTTGCACTTAAACTTGAAACTACGAAGTGCAACATCATATGCAAGAGCTTGATAACCAATTTTCGGATAACACTTAACCAACCACAGATAACCAGAATGGCCACCCATAGATAACTACTACCGAGATAACCATCGATCAAGATAGCCACCCACCAAGATAACCACCCACCAAGGTAACCACCCACCAAGATAACCACCCACCATGGTAACCACCCACCAAGATAACTACCTACCAGGATAACCACCCACCAAGTTAACCACCCACCAAGATAACCACCCACCAGGATAACCATTCATCAAGATAACCGTCCTTCAAGATAACCACCCACCAAGATAACTACCCACCAAGATAACCACCTTCTGATAACTCCACCCACAGATAACTTCCCCCAAATTAAGATAATCGCGCAAATCAAAGATAACCCCTCACGTACCCCCACCCTTAGACAATCACACAAAGACGATTACCGTCAGATAACCACCATTAGATAATCACCCTTTTAAAACATATGACACCCCTCCTCCAACTTTTGAAACGTGTTTTGAATTGAATTTATTTTATTTCGAATTTTTGCGCCATTCGAAACATTACTTTCACTTCCGCTGCGAACAGAATTCCTGCACGGAAAAATTTACTTTCACTTCCGTTGCCAACAGACATTCCCTCTTATAATATAGATGATAAACGCCTGGCCCTGAGATGGTCAGATGGTATAAGTTCACGTCATAGGTTTCTACATATAGAGTAAAGAGGCGCTCTTAATCGGTCTGCGTCAGGAATTATCCTCCTTACTTTGTGAACAAAGGGATCGAGATGTTACATCTAACTACGAGGGGCCATTTTTATTTAGATGGCCTGACCATGAAGGAGCAATAAATTTGGGGTACTTGCCATGCTACATTTCAGTGTAGTCCATTGCGA